GATCCCTCCGCGCCGCCGAGCGATCTGATCGCCGCGAGATCATCTATCATCGAGAACAGGAGAACCAAGTCACCGAGAAAAAACCCAAAAAAAAAAAATTAACGGAGAGAAGCTGACGGGCGGCTTACCAGACGTATGGGGATGAAAAGGGGCTTGTCACCATCGCCGAAAGAGGCTGGAGAGAGAGAGAGAGAGAGAGAGAGTTTTTTTGAGATTTTTGAGGGGTTTTCTAATTATTATGGAATATATTGTTGGGGCGGCGTGGTATTTTTGGGGGGTTGGATTGATTGGGAACGGTTTTTGCGTGATTTCGAAGAGATCTTTTGTTTCCTGTTTGGGGTCGGTTCGAATCTTTTTTTTTTCTCTCTCTTTTGGCTTTCCTAGTTTAGTTGGGTTTGGGTCTCCGAGCTTGTTATCTACTTTCCTTTATAACCGTTTGGTTGGTTTCCTAAAAATCAAGAAAAGGAAATCGGTACAAGGAAATCAATAAAATAATATTTTTACCCATTTCCATCCCTAAAACTCACCCACAACATCTAATAAAATATTATTTTTATCTTCCAACTCATCTCATTTCATCTCCTTTCTTACATTTAAAAATAAACCAAACACAAGAAATGTGTCACATCATCCAACTCATCACAACTCATCTTATCCCATTTTTAAAAATCACACACATCATCCAATAATATTGTGACAACTCATCTCATCTCATTAAACATTCATTTCCATCCATTTCCTCAAAAAAAAACAAGAAATTGGTTTCCTTAAGTACGTGTCACATCATCCAATAATATACCTCCAACTCATCTCATCTCATCTATTTTCCTATTTTTAAAAACGAACCAAACACAAACAACCTCAAAACATCATCCAATAATATACCTCCAATTCATTTCCTTATTTTTTTAACCAACCAAACAACCTCAAAACAATTTTTTTTTAAAATCACTCACATCATCCAATAATAAGTTGACAACTCATCTCATCTTATCTCCTATTCTACAATTTCTTTCTTTTTTAAACCAACCAAACAACCTCAAAACAAATATTATAGGAAATAGGTTTCCTATTCTTTGATTTCCCAAAAAAAATGGCCAAACGAACAGCCCCTTAGTGAAATTGTTAACATGCTCCCTGATGGATACTCCCCTCTTCATCTTGAACTGGTAAAACCTCTTCTTCAAGTGAAGCCGATTCTCAATGCTTTTCGTAAGATACTTCTCATTGAGTGTTTCCCGTATCTTCTTCACCGACGTCTTGTTCATAACATCATAAATAAGATCCAACATCAAGCATGACCTAATAACACCACAAGCTCTACTGTTCATCTTCCTCCAAACCTTATCCTCCATGTCAGCAGGTTTTTCTTTTAACTCAAGAGTCTCCTCCAAATTCTGTGCATCCAATGCGTCCATCACCTGACACCTCCACAATCTAAAATTGATCTTACCGTCGAATTTTGGAATAACAATCTTCGTGTTATTAATGCTCAGACTCTGTATCGTCTTCATAAGAGACGAACCTAATGTGCTTGCATCTCCCATGTTGTCGATCTAACTCTTTAGATAGGAATCTTTACCGAATCCTTCGAACAAGCCTGAAGCTCTGATACCAATTGTTTTGCGTGGCAGAAGCTTCGAGGAGCGACACGAACAATCCAAGAGATAAACCATAACCAATAAGCAAATCAAAACCATGTAGGGTCGAAAATTTGATGTTGGGATTGATTTTCTTGTTTTAAGAAATGGGTTCGATCACTTGGTACGAAACCCTTACAATCACTCATACTCTCTCTCGATTACAGATGAAGAGAAGATTAATTCAGCTTCTCTTTTTTTAACGTGGGTTCTAGGTGGCGAAAGGATGCTTCCCCTGATGCTTGAGTCGAGCTTGCCTCCCGTTGATGATCAGACCAAGATTGCTGAAGCTTCTGAACTTTGTTAGCCGGCTGGAATCAAGGTTCGTACTCCGGATCGACATGCAGAAACTTTGATCTCTGATGCCGCTCTAAGTCCAAGCTTGCAAATCTCCAATTAATCGATCATCCACCCTTTCTTTCGTAGCCGTCGATGGCTATTTATAGGGTTTTAAGCATGTAACCGACGTGCTATAATAGTGGAGTCGCGGGCGTAACTGATGCACTAAAATTGCAAAGTCGTGACATAACTAACTCCTTGAATTTAGTCCACATGGCTGACTGGGTCTTCATGACCGTTACAGCCTGATTTAATGCGGGTGACGAACTTTACTGCATTGGCGAACCTCATCTTTGATGTCGAGCCTCATTGCATGGCGAGCCTTGTCTTTGATATCGAGCCTCGCATTTCTTACATTGAATAAAATTTAAGCATAATTTGAACATTGTGGTCGTTCAATCTTAGTTATATATCAAAGTTATAAGAGAGTAATATATGTAATGTATTTGGTTTATGTTTCTTTACTATTAGTAACTGCAAGCATTGGAAGCACATTCTCTTACTTTCTCTTAGACTCTTACTTTTGTTATGGTTTGTTTATTCTGATAGCAAACTTAACCGTGAAAAAAAACAATGACTAAAATCCCCATTTTACCATCAAGATATCATTGTTTGTATGTACAATATAAGCTATATATTGTTTACAATTCTTATATCCTATTCAGGGATAACTAAATATAATTTATTGTGCAGCCGAGTATAAGCCAAGCAAAGACAATCACTTACAGCAAAACCTCCCTCAGAGGCCTCAATGTTAAGGAAGACGAAAGTGGTCTTTTAATTTAAACATGATTACTACATTAAAAATTAACCCTACAAATCCAAAGGTCATGTTATTTTACTAAACATTGAAAACTCAGGGGACTGGTGTAAAGTATCGGTTTTAAAACCTCACCACCCCTTTAAAACCAAATGGTGGTTTACTGTTATTCTTACAAAGGTTTTTGTTTTGAAATTTACCATTATTCAATAAAGCAACTTATCAAATCCGAAAATATAATAAAGAGGAAAGTACCTTTAATGGCGACTTCACGGAAGTTGGTCTTAGTGTTAGAGTACAGCCTCTTCCACTCATCCAATATCATCTTGCTAGGAGGCAAGAGATCAAGTGAATTTTTGGGCTTCGGTTTTGGTGCCTCCTCTTCCTCCTTTGCAGGCTCCTTCTTGACCTCTTTCTTGGCTTCCTTGGGCATTGACTCCTTGGCCTGTGCAGCCTGTGCAGGCTTCTTCGCTGATGAAACAGGAGGAACAGACTCTGCCTGCTTCACCTCGCCCATTACCTTGCTAAAGTTTGGCTGATTAACAAGAGTCCAGAAGTATCTTTCTACATGGGAAATTGTGATGTGAAGCTCTTTATCATAATCTGAGAAAATCCATGATACAAGTTGCATGTCATGACGATATCGGCCAACGTCACTGAATGACCCACAAGGTAAGTATTTGAAGCTAGATGAGTGTTGAGAGCTTCAATGCCCTCTTCAATTTAAAGATTGCAACTTCCTCAGCCCACAAATGACAGTTTTGTAAGTATATATAGCAAATGCAGAAAGGCATCTCACGAACTGTATCTCACTGCATCCGTCTACGTCTTCCTCTTCGATTGCGATTGTCTCTTTCTCCCCCCCCCCCTCTAACGTCAATACATAGGGTCTGTGTTTTTTTTATTTTTAAAATAAATCTTTTTAGGGGTCATTTGGAAAGGATACAAGCTCATCGAAGGAGTTCCTCAGGCTTTACAATCTCTGCGATCTATGGTAATTTCTCAACTCTAATCGCACTTTCATCGATATTGCAGTCATTTGGTCCTCAGGTTTAGTTTGTTTATCTTTATGGTTTTATTCATTTTTATAATTTTATTCATTTTTATGGTCCTTGGAAACAATCAAACTACTGAAAGAAGGAGCATAGAAGATTAACCACAAGACGGTATACCACAAGTATACCAGGTTATCTCTATTAAAGAGTGCAAAGTTTCTCTCTTAGCTGAGCTATTTGTTTCTGTTGGCATGGAAATGCATTCCATTTTAGAACCTTCAGCTTATACTTGGTGAAAGTTTTTAATTGCTTTCGGGACTACTGCAGACATTTCTGGTTAATTCGAGAAGCAACTTATTATTCTTTGTATGGAGCTCCTTTGTCATCATGTTATTTTAATATTTGCATTCTACCTTTTTATGACTACTTTCTATCTCATGCAGCTTGAAGATGGTTTAAAGTTATCTTTCACTGATAAAAGGCGCCTTGCAAAAGTTTGCTTACTTCAAGATGTATTGTCCATTGCCCCAATATGTCCATCTTTCCTATAGATTCTTACATCTTTAGCGTCATTATAACTCTTCACCAATTTGTTGGTGCCGCCAACTTCTGTACCTCCAATAGCCGAGCTTGGTCTGGATGCATTGTTAGAGCCTATGAAGGTGGAGGAATTTGTAGATTCTTTGAGCAAAAAGAAAATTGCAATTAAAGCTCTACTACTCGATCAGGTTGGATATAATTTTTTTCCACAGAATCTCTCATATGTAAGTGCAAGTAATTGTTGAATTAGCAATACTAGAACCACAATGGTTAATGATACATTAGGTGGGTGTGCTGCATTTTGTATCTCCTTTGTGTGCTGCTACTCACCCATTCACAAGAAAATCCATTTATATGCGATGGTGATACCTAGGTGCTTTTTTTGTAAAATTTATCTTGCAGAACTCCTTCAAACCCTCCATAGTTGAAGTGTCTTAGTATTGCTGGCTTGACCTGAAAGACATTATATATCGATTTTATGACCATATTTGGTTAATTCACTTAGTTTTCTATCTAATTAAGTCACTTTGTTCTGTGGGTGATTGATAACTATATACCTAAATGATGGATCTATTTTCTGTGTTTCTTGATTTTTTTTTTCAAGGCCAGAATTCATCCCCTGCAGGTTGCTGCAACTTTGTCAAAGGAGAGCTGTGAAACTTTACATCGCTGCATCAAAGAGGTAATACACTTAAAAAAGGTTTCCCCCTCTTTTTCCTATTATAATTAAGGACCAATTTTTTGGTAAAGGCTTCTTCTATGTCGAATTAAACATAGATAAAAGACACTATTTGTAGGTTGCCAATTATGCCCTTGAAGTTGTTGCTGATTCCAATTCTTTTCCAATTGAATGGTTGTTTCATTTTCGATTGGGGAAAAAGTCTGGAAAAGTTAATGGTAAGTTTCTCAATGTATATGACTGTCTTGACCATAAGTCATTTATTCTACAGGTTATTGAGAAAGTTGTGGAAGTTGGAGCAGATAGTAGGTGATTATCATTTGTAGATGTACATGTACACTACTGCTCTTAATAAAAAAACAAAAACAAAATCATCAACTCCTTTTTTTTATGTGATACTGGCACAATTAGGCCAAATCGTAATGCACAGGACAAATGTTGTCTTAATTTATTTCTCTGAAGTTGAGTTCCTTGGATTAGATCTGTAGATAGTACTTTATAACTTTCTCATTGGTTTCATGATTAATAAGCAAACGCATATATAACATGCATTATTAGAATCAAACATACATTTGGTTAAATTCTATTAAAAAGTTATCGAATCGAATTGTCAATGAACTACCGAATCGAACATATTTTTGGTTAGATTCTATTCATTTATAAGCCGAACACTGAAAATTCTTTGTTTAGTACTAAATGAACTATCAAAATAAACTTCTGTGAATATCTGCTTCAATTATTGTACATAAAGCTTGAATGGAGTTATTGTTGGCTATTGATATCTATCTGCATATCCTCAATGGTTATATATAATAGTAGATATTAGACTAATATCCTATAATGTATTCTTATATCATTACTACATTTAAATATTAGCATAATTGAACATAATATCTAACATATTCTTTAAATAATTAATAATTAATTTTTAGCATATGAAACCATGTATATAAAGTATAAGATAATTTTAAGATAAATTTCAGGTGACAAACCACAAAAAATGATGTGGGGAAAATTTGCCCACAAAAAATAATTTGTAAGGATGTCGTGCTTAGCACGGGATAAATACTAGTGGTTTTGTATGGATGAAGGATAGAGAAGAGAAGAGGAAGGAAATTTTTAATTTATCTTTGTTTAGAAGTTTCATTTAGGGGCTGTTTGGTTCGTTTCCTTGATATAGAGAAATGCAATTCCATGTAAAGAAACACAAGTTTTGAGTTTTCCAAACTTTTCCAAGAAATAAATTGTTTTGCTTTGGTTCGCACATAAAAAATGGTAGGAAACCAATGTATTTATTTTTCTTGTGTTTGGTTCGCATAGAAAAAAAAGAAAAACTTTTGTAAACAAAGCAGAGAAGGAAAAAATCTGACGTGGCAGAGTTTTTATCAATTTCACTTGGTTGGGGAAGAAAATCGGAAAGGGAAAAAAATCTTAGTTGGCGGCGATTTTAGCAGAGTTTTCCCTCTTCCATCCGAGCAAACCAAAGCGGCACAAAGAAATGGACGGAAACAAAAAAGCTGACGTGGAGGGCTAAAAATCTGACGTGGAGGGGTTTTCTGAGTTTTCCACCCCTTATAATAGCGAACCAAACAGCCCCTTAAAGAAGAGGGGATGAGAGAAAAAATTGAACTAAAATCTTACTTCCCCAAATTAGAGGGTAGATAAAGGAAAGGAATGAAGGGAAAAAATTTACATTCTTTCTCTTCCCTTAGTCATCTCCCAGACACACCGTAAGAGTTAAATATGCACCCAGCAAAATTCTTTGGTACTCAATGTGTACCAAGCTGGCATGTTGTTGGATTAATTTTATGTTTATCTTTTTTTATAATAAGTTTGGTGTTAGGTGTAATTTGAGGATTTTTTTTGCTATTTTTTTATCATTAAAATCCAAGAGTAAATATAATCTTTTATGAGGTTTATTTGTGACATTTCAATGTCCTTTTTGCAAATTTTATAGCATATCTACAAAATTATGAAGTTTCAGGGTTGTTTTGCAAATTTAAAGGTTTGCTTTATAATTTTTCTGAAATTTTAGTTTTATGAAACTAGTTTTCCAATAGAACTTATGGAATACCTGAAAGACATTATTCAATGTAGCTCTATTCATTCGAAACCGTTAAAATTGATACGAGCGGATGAAGGGTCAAACCACTACGGGTTCACCCTAAATTTGGTGTGTTGGGGTTTTAGAATATGTAGATCAAGTTCAATGGAGCGGATCATCCACAATGTAGCTCAATCAAGTGATCATCACTGACTAAGAAACTTAGTGGACGTCCACTTAAGTTAACATAAGTTTCTCTCTCTCTCTCTCTCTCTCTCTCTCTCTCTCGTCTCTATATATATATCTATATAGTATATATATACTATAAATATATATATAATATATCATATATAATGATATATATATATGTATTATATATATGGTTGGGGATGCACAACGCCCCCTGATGCGATTTGAAATAGAGATTTTAGGACGAGAAGAAGAAAATCAAACAACATCTCAAACACACCAAGTTTACGTGGTTCGCTTCTGAATGGTGAGAAACTAGCGTTCCTACCGGCCTGCCGCAAGCGGAGAAAGAATTCACTAATTTTTCGCTTAAATAGCATCATGCCCTAAATCAAGCCTTTTTATTTTAGACTTTAAGGGGTTTAAACAAGTAAATAGAAGGAAACAGATCAAAACAAGGTCAAAATTTGCAAAAACTGGTGCCAAAAGCCCGACTCCGGGTCGGACCGTCCCGCACACAATCCCGGTCGGATTCCGCTTGATCTGTTCGAGGTAATCTGCACTGGCTCTCTGGGACTTTTGGGCGGTCGACCCGCAAGCGCATGGCTCGGTGACCGGACGAGAGACGAAAGGCTGGGTTGCCTGCTCTGGACTTTGAGCGGGTCGCCCGCTGGCGCCACCTTCGTCGAACGGCGACGAGTTTCTGGCCCTGTTGCAACCAGCTGTGGCACTAGGCGGGATCGACCGCAGCGGACCGCTGCTCGGGTCGATCCGCGATGCAGAAAAAATATCTCCTTCGTCGTTTTGCTTGAACTTCGCCATCGTCGATCCTGTTCATCCTGTTCCAACTTTGTTCCTCTTCATTCTGAAGTGTAGGGCATGCCTGATAGTTAGGCTTCACATATCCTAACAATCTCCCACTTGGAGACTAACTATCAATCTCTTTCAGCTGTCTCTGCGGCGACGGCCTCCATATCATCAAGTGCTGAGGCCAACTGAAGTTGAGAACAACTTTAGTTTCTCTGTAGTGACAACCTTGGTAAGCATATCAGCTGGATTCTTGCTTCCTTGAATCTTCTCAAGTTCCAACATGTCATCGTCCAACGCTGATCTTATGAAGTGGTAGCGGACCTGTATGTGTTTGGTTCTTGCATGAAAAGCGGGATTCTTTGCCAAATGAATTGCGCTCTGGCTATCACAATGTAAGACACTCTTCTCACTCTTCTGTCCCAACTCCTCCAAGAAACCCTGTAACCAAATCATCTCCTTGCTTGCCTCTGTCACAACAACATATTCAGCCTCTGTCGTTGATAAAGCAACGATCTTCTGCAACTGAGAAACCTAACTAATAGCTGTAGAGCCCAAAGTGAATACATATCTTGTAGTGCTCCTTCTCTGGTCTATCTCACCAGCATAGTCTGCATCAACAAAACCCTGCAGAACTAACTTGCCTCTTCTGAAGCATAAACAATCTTCTATTGTACCTCGCAGATATCTCAGAATCTACTTTACTGCTTCCCAGTGCTGCTCTCCTGGATCTGACATGAATCTGCTCACAGCTCCCACTGCATGGGCAATGTCAGGTCCCGTGCATACCATGGCGTACATAAGGCTTCCAATGGTTGAAGCATATGGAACCTTAGCCGTGTAGTATTTCTCTTCATCAGTCTCCGAACACTGCTCCTTAGTCAATTTGAAATGACTAGCTAACGGTGTGCTAACGGCCTTAGCACCACTCATCCCGAATCTCTCAAGCACCCGTCGAATATACTCGGCCTGAGATAGTCGTAGTGTGCCTAAGAGTTTGTCTCTGCTAATCTTTATTCCCAATATCTGCTTCGCTGCGCCTAGATCCTTCATGTCGAACTCACTCGACTCTCTCATATCTGAACCGGCTACAAGCATGTCGTCGACATATAGGAGCAGGATGATGTAACTTTTGTCAAACTCTTAAACAGCAATGATCAGCATTGCACCTGGAGTAACCGTTCCTGTGCATGAATCCATCGAACTTTTTATACCATTGCCTTGGAGCTTGTTTTAGGCCGTACAAGCTCTTCTTCAATCTGCATACCATCTTCTCTTTTCCCTTCTGAGTAAACCCCTCTGGCTGCTGCATATATATCTCTTTCTCTAGATCACCGTAGAGGAAAGCTGTCTTTACATCTAGCTTCTCGAGATGTAGATCTTCAGCTGCAACAATACTCAGGACTGTTCTGATGGTAGTTAGTTTGACTACTGG